CAGTGGGAGAGAAACATCCCATCCTAGCTTTGCTCCAGACTCAACCTCGTTAATAATTTTGCTGAGTGACTCCTGGGTACAAACTCTAGCTTTTATGAACACTGTGGGACATTTTTAATGTTTTGAATTGTTTTCATCATTGCTTGCCATTTCAGTATGTGTCATGTTTGAGTCTGCCAAGAAGCAACTTTTCCATTTAGCGATCAGAAGTATGGAAAAAGGATAGGCATGGTCCACTTTCCAGGGAGTCTTGTAGCAGCTAGTGGTCAGATTAAAGTATTTTTTCCCATAATATTTCTAATGTTAGTTTCCATGATTAAGAAAAATTTAGTTTGTAGAATGCCACTAGATATTAAAGTCTCACCAACAATGTCTCCCAGTTTTTTCTAGGGCATCCCTGGAAAGTTGAAACAACAGGAATAATTCAAAGCCACAAGCATTTAGCTTGAAATTTTAGAAAAATATGGCTTAAGATACTGTATATATATTTTTCATATGAATGTGCCAATTATCCTGTGTATGAAATTCTCTGTTCTGCATTATATTTTATGTGTACACAAATCTGAATGTATATGTATACACCACAATAAATTCTTGTAACAACTTGACATCTTAAACAATGCATCATTTTGCATATATAAAAGATATTTTGTGTATTTCCTGACTTTTATTTCTTGTCTTTAATTAGAGAAAAATGAAATATTCTTTCATAGGCAGATAACATTTTGAAACATGTTCCAAATCTGTGTTGTAATTACAACTTTGATAAGTGTCCTATCAATGTAGTCTTTGATGAAGTTACTCCTGGAACTTGAAAGTAGACTTCTTGTGAAATTATAAAAAAGATGCTTGTTTTCCAGGAGGGCAACTATCCAGTAAATCTAAAAATACACGAAATTGTTCGGGTCCAAGTATCCAGTAGTAGTGACAGAACACGACCTTGTCTTATGCTAATAAAATAGGCATTTTCTGGCACAGAAGGCTGTGCATTCTCCCTCTAACTCTAAAGACAGTGCTAACCCAAAAGGAAATTTTATTATTCCCATCAGAGACAGAAAGTTGCCTAAAAGATACCCTCAGGCAAGGATCTTACATAGCTGGGCCAATTCACTCATATTGAGAGAGAGCAACTAAGTGAATGTACCCAGGTGCTTTGCTTGATTTCCCATGTTTGCTGTGATTAATGGCTTTCCCTTTTGTCTGTTTTTTTGGGTTATAATTTGGTTTTGCCTGTATGCTCTACATTTTATCTTTGTCTATATAACCATTCACTTTTGGACCAAGCCTGGATTTACATTACTATTACTGGCCCAGACTTAATTTCTATCCAATTTCTTGCTACTGTGCTATGGTTTAAAACATATTGTTTGACTTGTAAAAAAATTCCTGACTACAGATTTAAAAATTGAAAGTAGATCAATAGAAACATTGGAAATGTTAACATCTTGACTGCTTTTCTCAGTGTAAGAGTGATCAGTGTTTAGCCTAAAATGCACATTTTTCTGTGGGATATGGGTTTGAAAGACTTACTCCTGAAAATTATTATTGATGAGAAAGGCTGCTGCTTTAATCCACTGTACCTTGGCTTACTTTTTGCAAAATGAGCTTCTTTTTATTAATAAGAAATAAACTCCTTCCATGTTCAACTTAAAATTGCTGCTTTAGACACTATATCAGAGTTCCCTGGTCTGGCCTATCCTCTTTTTGCCCACTTGCAGTCTTTGACACAACGCTGGGAGGCAATTGGCTTCATATATACTTTGCTTTGGACTTTCCTGCATTGATTCTGTCTGGTTACCTGGCCCACTCATTCAGCTTGTATCTTGAGCAAGTTGACACATATCAGAAACTTAATACTGAGTTATGTTTGTTGTAAATCAGTTGAGATTCATCTTCTTGATTGAAGCACACGTCTTTAGAGCAATGTTTTCGAAACTATTCCATGAAACAAATCCACGTACAGATGTCCTGACTTTAATAATAGGGGGTTGACACAAAGAAAGGACAGAAGTTTGGACTTTTAACTTATCACATTTGGTGTAGACTGAATGTTACTTATAAGAGATTAAAGAAATACCAAGATAGTTCTAGAGTATAGATGCTTCACTACAGGTTTTTGAGGTGAGCAAGAGAATGTTCATACTAAACAATTATGATTTAGGAATTATTTTTGGAATAGAATTAAAGTAAGTGTTTTTCTTTGCTTTTGCTTGTTATTCTGAAGTAAAACAATAATTATGCCACATACGATGACTACACATTATCTTAATAGATGAATTCTTTCAATCCTTGGCTTAAAGTAAACTCAATTGATTCCTATTAAATCTTCCTTTTTTTCCATCTGAGTTATAAGTAACCCAATGGCAATGTGTCTTTGAATATGTTTTTTAAAACTTTTATTTGCAATGTTTGAAAAGTTCCTACGTATAAATGAAATCTGAAATAAGCGACCTTGGGATGACAGAATTTAATCAAAGCAGTAAAATCATTCTATGGGCATCAAACATATTAATGACAATTTATACTCCAAATAAATGAATTAAATAGTTGATATAAAGTCAAATTTAGCGAGTTTCCCCATGAAAAGTTCTCAGAGTAGGTTTCAATTGATTTAATAATAATAAAGGAATTCTCTTTTTTAACCTGCCAGCACCTACAGAAACCTTTCTTTCTTTTAATATGGCAAACATGTTTGTTGTTTATAACTGGGAAGCCAGTAACCCATGAAATCATGCTGTCAGTTTTTCTCAACAGCCCTTTGGCTATGAGATCTTACTTGGGGAAGTTGATGTCCCTCAGCATAAAAACTAACAGTGCTGCTTGGAGAAATGGAGTTTTACCCGATCAATTATATTTCTTTGCCCTGCTGTGGTTGGCTGATCACACTTGTTACTGAAGAGGGACAGTAGTTTTGCCCCAAGTGCAAGTATCTCAGGAAATGCAGGAAACTAAGGCAACAAAAATGATACTCCAGCTGTAATAACAAGCCCAAGTGTTCTACCTTTGAGGGAAAGGCATCGGCAGGTTGCCCTCTTTACGCCTGCATCCCTTTCAGGCCCGAGGCCAGTGTGATCCTGAGGCAGCTGCTCAGGGTGATGTGGTTTCTCCACCTGCCTTCCCCCACATTGCTTTGTGCCAAGTCTATAGGTGAGATGAAATGCTTGTTGCAGGCAGTGGCTATCCAAAGCTTTGTAGTAGAGTTAGCTTTATTTAATATGCTGCTTGGGAAGGATGGAAGAAAAAGAGTACCTTATTTCTTAACAAGAGCTTGAAATGTCATTCATTTAACAAATATTATTAAATACATACTATGTAACTGGTACTGTGACCATTATGCTTTTAAAATTTATTAGAAAGGGAGACAGTGTGGGTGTAGGAAGGGCGAATTTGTTCTTATAGTGTGTTTTTTGATTTGAGATTAATGTCATTTGCCAGACTAGATAATTAAGAATAAAAATCTGTTTTCACTTATACCACTTCTTTCCATCAGGTAAAAGTAATTTTTCTTTGTGTTCTTCAAATAGCTCTTATTGAAATTTGGTCCAGTTTCCTCAGTAGCAATTTTAGATAGAGAATGAGACAAGTATATGCATTGGCCATTTTTCCCAAATTTTTCTTGTTTTATAAAGCTATCACACACTCAGAGAGAGTAAATGATGCTATTCATTTTAAGCAATTGCTTGTTACATCTGGATTTAGTCAGGTGAAGATCGAAATCATGAGAGTTCTTTGCGTCTGGTTGTCTAATATATCATAGATTCAGAGATTGTCCTCAGTGAGATGGAAACAGTGTCTGCAGCTGCTACAATAATGGGCTATCAGTGTTTTAGCTTCTTCTCTAGCTCGTTTTTCATTCCTCCTCCTGCGTGCTATATCTGCTTAGGTATTTTCTAATTCTGCCTCTGTCTTTTAGCCATTTGATGTGAAAAGCATCATTTAATTTAAATTAAATTTATTTTACCAAATTTCTGTTAGTTCTCGAAGTCAAATTCCAATTTCACCAATTCCAAAATTTACAGAATATTTTATGGTAACATGTTAAATGGTAATGAGTACACCCTCTGCTAATTGGACCTGGTGATGAACTAAGTAAATGTCCAGCCTTTCCTTGTTAATCATTCTGCAAATATAAAAGTCTCTTGAATCTTGTTAGAGCCCCTGGTAGCATTTATGGTGTCCTTGTGAGAAAAAAAAGTACCCCCTCTGGGCAGACTGATTCCAGAAGGTATCCTCTCTGGGCAAAGCAACTAGAAAAAAACGCTTGCTCCAAAGGGTCCCTTTGGCTGACTGACTGGGAACTGATGTGGGCCCCATACACCTGGGGCCCTGTGCTCCTGTTCACTCCGAACCTGTGCAGCCGTCATGGCAGCCCTGTGCCTGGGACAGGAAGGCAGGAAATAGTATGCTACCCTTTCCTGTCTTTAGACTTCTGGAGGTTTTCTTATTTATTTGTTTGATTTAATGGGAGTTTCAATCCATTTTGTTGGTTGTGATACATGAGAAGGGGAATCAGAGAATTACTATTTGATTTTAGGATAAACAACATGAATAACCTTGGTGGCAGTTCAAACCAGCTTCTCCCTTCCAGGGTGCAGTGTTAATAAGTACCTCACAGACTTTTTCATAGGAGAAATCCCATTTCCTGGGAAAACCCATTCCATTTGTTCATTTTAAAGAATTTATTGGAAAGCTTTATTATCAAATGACTACTTCTATGGCCTGTGGAAATACACACACACACACACACACACACACACACACACACTCACTTATGCACACATAGAATGAAACTTTTTTCTGGTGTGTATTATTTATTATTATACATTAATAATTATAACAAAGTTAAGTAACCATTATGTTCTCTGCTTTAAAGTATCAGAAGCTGCTACCTTGCAATGAAAAAAGTCTTACGCGTTCCCCCTCAAACTGCCCATATTTATCAAAACAAGAAAGGAATGAGTAGTAAAACTTAGGACTTTTTTCCCCCCTTCTTTTTCTAGGTGAGGTGTTCCATATCACTGCTCCCAGTAAATTCACCTTTGAGGAGGCTGAGGAAGAGTGTGAAAACCAGGATGCCAGGCTGGCGACGGTGGGGGAACTCCAGGCGGCGTGGAGGAATGGCTTTGACCAGTGTGATTACGGGTGGTTGTTGGACGCCAGCGTGCGCCACCCTGTGACTGTGGCCAGGGCCCAGTGTGGAGGTGGTCTACTTGGGGTGAGAACCCTGTACCGTTTTGAGAACCAGACAGGCTTCCCTCCCCCTGATAGCAGATTTGATGCCTACTGCTTTAAACGTAAGTGTTTGATACCTTTTTGAAAATTACAGATTAAAAAAAATACTTCGAAGGCATGCACTGATGTTCAACTAGCCGTTGGAATGGATTCCATGTCTCGCAGTGTGTACATGGAATGGAAACAGTTCAGTGATTTTCAAAAGCAAGTACACCGACCAGCAGCGATATGGTTGAAACAAGATGAAGTTTGACAAAAGGATTTTTAGAGGGGATGAGGAAATACAGGGTTAAGGTCTTAACTGTGCCCTGTTGTGCCCAGAGCCACAGAACATATTTCTGACTAGTTATTTTATATTAATTGCAGTCCTTAAATGCAATTCAATTGTTGGTGCTATAAGGCTGAGGCCAATTGTGGCTGAGTTAAATCCTTAATTTCTGCTTATTTTATCTTTGTTTGGTATCGCTTTCTTTGAAATGGTGGAGAATTTTAATTTGACTAATTGCAGGTGAGTACTTGGAGCTGACTTAGATAGTCATAATATTCAATTCATACTTAAAAATGAACCATGCTATCAATAAAAATCTCCATTCGTCTCATTTTATCTCAAGAAATGGAAATATGTGCCTGCCAATGATTAATTCTATAGTATTATATTGAAGTATAATATGCTGTTTGCAATGTGTAACATAAACAGACTATCTTCAATTAAGTTTACTACTTAAAATTGGTTTCGAGTAACATTTCTCAACATTTGTCATACAATTCTTTTAATTTTTCAGATGTCCTTAAATTGTTTTAGCAATAATAATTACGTGATATAGTATCATAATTATAGAATGCTTAAACAAGCAAGTAATCTAGAGTTTCATTGTAATATTTACTGTAGAGCATGTATTGTGCTAGCTAAACAAAGATCTCCCAGAATTTTGGGTGACCTTGAGTATGTTGAAGATAGAGTCATGTTGCATTGAAATACAGTGAACATTTTGACTGAGCTTTCTATGTATCTCGTTATAGCAATATGTAACTAAAATGAGTAGAAAATATCCTAGTCGATTACATAATTGATTTCTAAATTGAAATACACAGGTATTTTTCATTAACAAAAAAGACACGGAGCTGTGATATCTAAGTAGTCAGCACAATAGATGCCAGCGCAGCAAGAAGGTTTCATTTCACATACTTCTGTGTCCCAGCTAAGACGCCTCTGCTTGGATCTCCTCCCTTAGACTCAACTTTCTGAGTGTTAAAGCCATGTGTTGTGTATTAGCTTCATACAAGCTAGCCGATCCATAAAAAAAACCATAGAAAATACCAGCTTTTGTTCTCAAGCCCTGAAACAACAGAAAAAGCCTTCCTCAATCATTTTCAGGAAAACAAACAACAATAACAAAAACTTTATCTCTAAAAGTAGACAGATGTGCACTCCTTTAAGCCACATTCTCACAACAGTGACTTTCAAGTGTTTCAGGCTCTAAAATCAGTTTTGCATTAAGTGACTGATGTGATTAAGGAACAAAATCAGATTGGTGTGTAGGGTGGAAGGGGCTGGAGAGGTTACATTAGGGAAGGAGTAGAATTTTCCACACCGACTACCTTAACTTGATTATATTTTCTTGTGCTTTATAAAACTGGCACCAGAAAACTTCCAAGTAACACTTTTTTTTCTCTCTGAGGGTAAAATTTATTGTAAATCAAAGCCTGTCTATAGCCACAAAGACTATTGTTAAAAAAACTCAATTCTGATGTGTTTTGAATTATTTATTTAATTGAAGAATTCACATGAAGGTATGAAATAATGAGGTACTTAGATTCAAATAGAATAACCACCTACTAAAAACATATGTAAAATTCGAAAAAATGTTTGAAGGTTTAGATCCATATTTTCTCTCTAATTCATTTAAGTGTATATAACTTGGAAATATAATGAATTCATATTTTGGTTTTTTCCCCCACTTCAGCTAGCCAGATTCTTCTATTTCTTTCCTACCTAAGAACTTAATGTATTCAGAATTCATTCAACACACAAGGTTAAGAAAGTTTAGCCATAACATAAAAGCCTTCCTTAAACCATACACAATGCCTGCAGCTTTCCCAAATTTCTAATTCATTCTTCAAGGATTCTTTTAATATATATTTTGAAAGAATTTGAAATATTTTCAAAATGACTGATGTCCACTTTTCCCACATAGTCAAGTAATGATGACATTTTGAAGGTTAAAGTTTATAAAAATTGTGGCCTTAGTTACAATTCCAAAGATGATTTCAGAGATGTACAGGTGGCTGGCTGAGTGGAGAAATTTAGAAATATATTTTTCTTGTTTGCTTTTACCAAATGTGGAAAGTGTTTTTTTAAGCCACTTGTTGAATGAACAGTGCCAAATTTTATTTTCCTATAATTCCCTTTTTCTTATAAAGTCACTGAATAAAATATTAACAATGACTAATAATAATATAATTAGACTACATTCTTGTCAAATAGATTTGAAAACCAGGTAAATCAACGTCTTTGTGAAATAAAGTCTTCCTCTGTATTTCCCCTTGATTATTAAACTATTTGTGAACTTTTTATTTTTCTTTGACCTCAGAATTAAGAAAGTTCTGTGAAAGTTACAGAGTTATACAGGGCTTTGAAAGATCACCCCATATTATATTCCCAAATTTAAGTGAATCAAAACCATTCAAGATGCATGATAATTTAATGTTATTAATGACCTCTAGGAGAGGGAGAGAGAGCACCTTTCCTAGAAAACCCATTCTAATATTCTATGATCATCACCATCAGATAATTTTTCTAATTAAGTCCATTGCATTAGAGTTTGAACCCTTGTTTTCTTTTTAAGTTAGAGACCAAAATCTAAATAATAGCCATTTCTATGGTTGAACACGATTGTTTAGTTATCCCTCAGTCTCTCTCCAACAGAAACATTTTCTTATTTTGAAATTTCAATCTCTAAACCTTTAATCATTGATGTGATCTTGCTTTGATCCTTCGTTATTTTTCACATCCCTCTGGTTACGTTTGGAACTTGAAATAGTGGTCTAGAGACAGCTAAATTAGTTCTCACCACTTCCTATGCTATCTTATGCATTTGTTCATTTTAAAAATTGGCCTGCCTTTCTAAACCATGGTCAGTTCTTTATCTTTTTTTTGTGCCCTAGTTCCTAATCTGACCATGGGTGCCAGAACGAATTCTTCTCTAATTGGTATTTTAAAAATATTTCCTGTTTATTGAGTTTGAATCTGTTAGCATTCAATCACTCATAAAACTCTTAAAAGGTAGTTTAGAATCTAATTCCATCCCTCCTTTTCAATCATTACACTTTCCCCAACCATGACCCAGATTCAACCTATTGAATACTCACTCTATGTGTGACTTCTTCCCATGTTTACACGTATTTATGTATAATAAATCTAATATAGAAGAACCGAGTTAAAATTAGTTATTTCTCTATAATGTAGACAGTATGGGTATGAGTTAAACTGACTATCATACTGCTAATAGGGGTTTTATATTTTATTAGGAAAATCTGCCTCATGTCTCGTAACAGAAGCACAGAGAAGATAGTCCATAGGACAAAAATGCCATAAGTACAGTGATATAAAACATCTGTGGGGCAGACAGCTGCAAAGGGTGGAAAGGAACCTTTGTGGGAAAAGATGCATGCTGATTTTTGTTGGCTTCCTCAATAATGAAGTTGAAGGAACACTGGTAGTTTTCCAAGACCGTAACTTCTCCATGTGAATGCACCTTCTAGAAGGCCACTTTTAAAATAATCTGGAGTTGTGTTTTTACCTTTATATGAATAATAGTCATCATTAATATAGTAGCATTTATTCTTAAGAAATCTTTTTGTAGATATTTGTGCTTTTAAAAATTATTTCCTTTTTTGGAATGGCTGAAACAAATGGCACAGATAATCAGACACACTGAGTTGTGATCGAAATCAGCTGTTAAGTTGAGGAAAAAGCCACTCAAACGCAAAAGGAAGTTTGAGGTTTTCCATTCCAAGTAGTCAAATTAATTAACTTAATTATAAGCAGACTTTTTTAAGAGGGCTCTAAAAGTATTGAAAACCCTTGTTGTTGAAAACAAAGTCACATAAATTCCGGCTTTGTAGGGCAGATTCTCTGAGACATATTGCTGTCACTTTACTGTGCAACAGGACTAGAGGAAGGCAACAGCAAACTGGAATAACTGACAATGAAATACAGTTATTTAGTTTTTAAACCCTGAGTCCATTTTTAAAACATTATAGAAATATTTTGATAGCATTGTAGAGAGTTGCTAGCAAAGGGCTTGAGTTGCAACATAGAAAGACCTGATTCCCAGGCCCTTTGTTTGGCCCTAATGCAATAGCACCTCTTTTTAAGTTAATTTCATCAGCCATGGAAATACTCAGAGGAAAAAAGTAAAACTAACCTTTTTGTTGTTATTAATAATAATATGATTAAATTTTCTCTAATATGCAGCTTGCTAAGTGTTTATATTATGTTTCCATGGGAACTTTTTCTGTACGTATTTTTTACTATTTCCCCAAAGAATGCAGTTATAAAACAAACATGAAATTTGGCAGTTAAATGAGGTAATGGTTATGGAATTTCAGAGGATAGAGAATTGAATTAAAAGAAAACTGGTCAACCATATTTTGGGTCTTTAAGTTGTTCATGTCAATCAAATGAGACCAATGCTTCTTTCAGGAAATGAATGCAGAAAAAGCTTTTCTTACAAAAAGGGATGGAAAGGTTATTTAACGTGTTTTTAGAGATTTTAATTCTTTTTTAGTTTGGTTTTAATATAAAAGGATAAACGGTGACAGGCTTTAAAGGATATTTAAATCTACCCTAATGTAGATGATAAAAATCAATGAAGCTGGGTTTTAAAATGGTCTGGGGAATGACCACAGTTAATAACAGCTCATGCCAGACAGAAAATAAGGAACCTATTACAGCCCTAGTCTGATTTAAAACAAAATCACATCATTTTATGATTAAGTTTTGACAGAGCAGATGGAGCTAAAAAGTACCCAATTTTGTTTTTTAAAGGCTCCTGTTTGGGGTTATTAAAAGTCAGAAGCAAGATACTATATATACTATAGATGTTACAATTCTTATCAGGAAGAACAGGCATTACCCATACAATTAGCTTTAAGTCATATGGGATGTAAGAAAACAACAACTACAGGTGTCCTGAGAACAGTTCCTTCTGAGTTCAGTAGCAACTAGTTTTTCATTTTCAAAAATACTATTTTTTTTTAAACACAATTTTTATATACTAGGCTACTGCACTCTCCCTGTTAAGGAAGAATCTTGTTTACAACACTGTCAAATTTATACATAATTTAGATTTCTTTAAACAGTCCAGGCCATTCTCTGTAAATCTGGAGGCATTATAATGTAGCATTTTATGATGACAGGTTACTTTATATTGCCTGAGCCTATTCTTTCTGATGCTCAGGGTTGTTTCCAGTGATTTGTAATTATAGACCTAAAATACATTATGTGGGTACTTTACTTCCTGTTCTATGGTTGTGTTTCATGCTAAAGTAAGCCTGGAACCAAGACCCTTAGGAAGTACAAACACAGTGTGTAGGACATAGAACAAAATGTACAACTACAGTAGATGCCTACCAGCTTCTGCCAGACACATTTTATAATTTATTAGAACCACGTCTACACTACAGAGTTGAAAGGAATATGAAGACAAATGTTTAACACCTGCAATCAAGTGAAGGGCGGTATTAAAAAGTTTTAATATCCTGTTTTTATGAAACTCTCCACCTTATGGACAATGTAATGGTTTATATGTAACTCAGTTACATTTGATGTGGCTTTTTTGTTGTTTTGCAATCTGAAACACACCCGGTCCCCTGAGATACTATGCAGCAGCTTGAGAAGGAGGGGTTGTGTGGAGATAGCTCCAGGAAGAGTACAGAAACCTCCAGAACAATAGTGTTAAGTTCTCCTACTAGGTTTTAAGTTGCTGTTGTTGCTTCTGATAAATAAACTATCTATTGTGTCCAAACTCTGCATCTATATTGTTTGGGGCTTCTCCTTATCTTAAAACTGCATAATATTCATTTTCCTTAACTAAGAACAGGCATTCATACCTATAGGTAAAAGCAGCGATAACCTTTGCAATATAAAACAACTGATCAATCTGTGACTATTAAGTGTTCAATGTTCTGTTTTTGGGTTAATCGAAGTATAGTTTTTAGACTCCTCTCCATCAGAAAACACTCTTGGGTCACTGCAAAATACACAGCGGCACTTAACAAACACTGGGCATACAACTTTTTACTAGTGACTTGTCTAATCAACTCTTTGAAATTATTTTTCTAGCTAAACAGAATATATCAGAGGCTACAACGATTGAATTGAATATCCTCGCAGAAACTGCATCACACAGATTGTCCAAAGAACCACAAATGGTACCCAATAGAACTACACCAATCATTCCTTTAGTCAACGAATTACCTGTCATTACAACAAAGTTCCCTCCTGTGGAAAGTATAGTCAATTTTGAACAGAAAGCCACAGTCCAACCTCAGGCTGTCACAGACAGCTTAGCCACTGAGTCACCCACACCAGCTGGGAGTACCAAAAAGCTTTGGGATATGGACTACTACTCACCTTCTGCTTCAGGACCACTTGGAAAGCCAGACATATCAAAAATTAAGGAAGAAGTGCTCCAAAGTACAACTGTCATCTCCCGTCATGCTACTGATTCATCGGATGGTGTCATGGAAGATACACAAACCCAAGAATCAGTTACACAGATTGAACAAATAGAAGTGGGTCCCTTGGTAACATCCATGGAAATCTCAAGGCATCCTCCTTCCAAGGAATTCTCGGTAACTGAAACACCATTTGTATACACAAGAATGACCCTGGAATCGAAAACTGAAAAGAAAACAGTAAGCACTATTTCTGAATTGGTGACTACAAGTTCCTATGGATTCACCTTGGGAGAAGATGATGATGAAGACAGAACACTTACAGTTAGATCTGGTCAGACCACCTTGGTCTTTAGCAAAATACCTGAAGTCATTACAGTGTCAAAGACTTCTGAAGACACAACTCATGTTCAACTAGAGGACTCAGAGTCAGTCTCAGCATCCACAACTGTTTCACCTTTAACTATGCCTGACAATGGATCATCCATGGACAGCTGGGAAGGGAGACAAACTAATGGTAGGATAACTGAAGATTTTTTTGGCCAGTATCTGTCTAGTACACCTTTTCCATCACAGCGTCATACAGAAGTAGAATTGTTTCCTTATTCTGGTGATAAAATATTAGTAGAGGGAATATCCACAGTTACTTATCCCTCTCCACAAACAGAAATGACACAAGGAAGAGAAAGAACAAAAACTCTAATACCAGAGATGAGAACAGATACTTATACAGAGGATGAAATACAAGAAAAGATCACTAAAGATCCATTTGCGGGAAAAACAGAAGAAGAAGGCTTCTCTGGAATGAAGCTCTCTACATCTTCCTCAGAGCAAATTCATTTTACAGAGACTTCTGTGGAAATGACAACTCCAGGTGGGTTAGAAGCAGATGGCTATGAAGATACTACCAAGTATAGTGAAGATATCACAACAGTGCATTTGACCCCCAGTACTTTAGATGTTGAAGTGGTCACTGTATCAAAATGGTCATTGGATGAAGATAATACAACCTCGAAGCCTTTAGAGTCTATAGAACATTCAGGCTCTCCAAAATTGCCCCCTGCTTTTCTCATCACTACAGGGGTGAATGGAAAGGATAAAGAAATCCCAAGTTTCACTGAAGATGGAGGAGATGAATTTACTCTTATTCCAGATATTGCTCGAAAGCAATTAGAGGAGATTACTGAGGAAGACTTAATAGATCATGGGAAATTCACAATCAGATTTCAGCCAACTACATCAGTTGGGATTGCAGAAAAGTCAACTTTGAGATATTTTGCAACTGAAGAAAGTGTTCCACCTATCACAAGCACAGAAGACCAAGTTGTTTATGCAACCATGGAAGGAAGTGCTTTGGGTGAAGGAGAAGATGTGGACATCTCTAAGCCAGTATCTACTGTTCCCAAATTTGCACACACTTCAGAGGTAGAAGGATTGGCATTTGTTAATTATAGTACTACCCAGGAGCCTACTACTTATGTAGACTCTTCCCATACCTTTCCTCTTTCTGTAATTTCCAAGACAGAATGGGGAGTGTTAGTACCGCCTGTTCCATCAGAAGGGGAAGTTCTAGGTGAACCTTCTCAAGATATACGTGTCATTGATCAGACTCGCCTTGAAGCAACTGTTTCTCATGAAACTATAACAACAACAGAAACCACACAGGGAACAACTCAGGAAGAATTTCCTTGGAAGGAAGAGACTGCAGAGAAACCAGTTCCTGCTCTCAGTTCTACGGCTGGCATGCCCAAGGAGGCAACACCACCATTCGATGAACAAGAGGGTGATGGATCAGCATACACAGTCTCGGAAGAGAGATTGATGACAGGTTCTGAGAGAGTCCCAGTTTTAGAAACAACTTCAGTTGGAAAAATTGATCACAGTATGTCATATCCACCTGGTGCTATAACTGAGCACAAAATGAAAATGGATGAAATGGTAACACTAACACCAAGCATTGGGCCAAGAGTATCTTTAAGTCCAGAGACTGAACAAAGATATGAAACAGAAGGCAGTAGTCCAACAGAATTTATAACACCTTTGAGTACTACCCAGCTTATAGAGGAAACCACTACTGAGAAAAGAGAGAAAACATCCCTAGAGTATATTGATTTAGGCTCAGAATTATTTGAAAAGCCCAAAGCCACGGAACTCCCCAGATTTTCAACAATTAAAGCCACAGGTCCAAGTGATATCACTGGTGTGTGGGATGTAGTAGACAAACTTCACACAACTTCAGCATTCAAGCCGTCTTCAGCATCCACCGGGAAACCACCTCTCATTGACAGGGAACCCGGTGAAGAAACAACCAGTGACATGGTAATCATCGGCGAATCCACATCTCGTGTCCCTCCCACTACCCTGGATGATATTGTACCTAAGGAAACGGAAACCGATATTGATAGAGAGTATTTCACGACTTCAAGTACTCCTTCTGCTACACAGCCAACAGGACCGCCCACCGTGGAAGGCAAAGAGGCTGTCGGACCTCAAGCACTCTCCACTCCACAACCCCCAATGGGGACAAAATTCCACCCTGACATAAATGTTTATATTATTGAGGTCAGAGAAAACAAGACAGGTAAGTCTTTGCTTTCTAGACATACCATAGAAAGCAATCAGCATTTTATCTTGAAAATTGCTCTTGGGGAAAAAAAAAAATCAACATACCAAATACTGCCATTAGAAGATAACTGGAGTGTGAAAAATAAATGTTTTAGTTTCATATATTTGTACAAGAATTGGAAGAATATGTTAAACAATTTGGAAGAATGTTAGATAACAATTTTATTTTAAAAGTTGTAAGAAGCCCTGCTTTGTCATCTAATATAACCAACTCATCGCTGTTACATCACTTCAGAACATGCAGAACAAAGTGTTTTAATTTCAGTGTCTTTCCATACATTACTACTCAAGTGTAGCACTAGACTGTGTTAACATTCCATTGGTCTTTAACTATTAACCTTGAGTGCTTACAACGTGGACAGCTAAAACCGTTTTGAATATCCCTAGGGTTGACAGAAAGACATCTAAAGGTTTCCTTTGGTTTTTTTTATTCCAGGATTTTATAGGTTTATTATACAAATATGATTTGTGGGGTGGGTAATAGTTCTATAGTTTAAGCGTTATTTTAATGTAAATTTAACTGTTTTTAAATTGTTGTTTTTGGATATTTTAGTGCAGCTTTAACTATTTAGAACAAATATAATCTACCTCAGTTCCAAGTAATGCTATAATTTATTGTATCAAACATTTCAGAAGGTGGATATGTAAGTGTTACCTTTGTTTCCTAAAACACTAGGCTGTGACGTTGTTTATTTTATGATTTAACTGTTTCACCTCTGGGCGTATTTGTGATGACTTCAATTCCCCTCAAATATTTTAGCTCTCTGGCAGAATTCTTAAAAGCTGTTTCTTTACATTGAATACTTGCAGTTATCATTATCAAACATACCTTATTCCTACTTAAAGGTGAGACCACACCATCTTTTGAATTTGGTAAATTGAATTGAGAATACATAGCGCATACAGTTCAATAGATCAATTCAGACTTGTTTGTCTCTTAATTTAGAAGTTAAGATTACTGATTTTAGTAAGGTCCTGTATTCTAGTTTTAATATAAGGATTTAAATGAATAAATATTCATTATTCCTTGACCTGGCTTTAAGAAGCCAGACTGAAGAATGTCATTTTCTCAAGGTTTCTCTCTTATTGCTGGGATATTCCTGTGAGGTCATCATTTTTTTGAAGAGTGATGCTACCCGTATTAAAGTGCCCAGGAGTGCACCTGTGGCAAACAAACAAGTAGCTTTATTGTCAAGTTAGTTTGTAACCAGTGCTCTAGGTAATAATTTCATGGCTTCTATACATTTCTACTATCCAGAATTTTCTCTGTGTGAAAGCTTTTGCTTGGCAGTGAATAGTAGAGAAGAGAACACACCCACAGAGTATTAAAGTTAATCTCTACTTCCCAGTACAGTTGAAAGAGGCCAGATTTGAACATGATTTTCTTGCTAATGATGCTGTTTCTTGGAAACCATAACATATTTCCTCAATTCTACATTCCTTTTCCACCTCTTGGAACTGGAGTAGAAAAGATGAGGTGAGTTGCCAAGAAGTAGAAATGAGGATTGCTGTTGTTAGGGTTGGAAAAGATACAGGAAGGTATAACTGTGAGTGAAAAAAAAAGTATTAATAAAAAGTCAATTACTACCAATGCTTAATTTAATAATTTTTAAAAATACTTCAATGACTATGTGCAATTTTTTTTTCAATTTATATTACTCTGTTGTTCGTATAAATGCTGAGTTGAGTTGAATAAGATAAGACACGATGAAAATTTAGTTCTTCATTTAAAAACTCTTCTGAATGGCAAACTGTGAGTAAAAGTTAGGATGATCAAATTACAAAATGGAAAAAGTGAAATTTGATCTCTCTGGAAGAACTGGCAGTCATCACAGAAAAAGAACGACTTTATATTTGAAATGGAGGGTCGGAGTAACCTAACCCTGAAACAATTCATGTGAAGATGTATATTTATATGTGAGTTGCGGACTTAATTCAGCTAGACCTGGGAGACATGAATAGGTGTTTTCTCTTCTTTCTTCCACTTCTAAAACATGGGACTGTGAGCCACCTTGAAACTAATTTTGTTCTGTGAAATAATAATAGGTCAGAAAATTCCGTGGAATACTTGGTTACCTCCATCAGGCAGAATTCCAGTGTGTGGTTGTATATGTGTGTGTATGGGGGGGTGGTGTATCTATGAAGTAATTATCCATCTACCTACCTCTACCTACCTACCTACCTATTATCTTTTTTTTCATGTGTTCTGTATAAGCCATTCTCCTCAAAAGTAAAAGCATTGTTTATTGTCTTCATAAGACAATGAGGTTTACTCAGATCCAAATGCTTACTTATACTAGTTTTGTTTTCTGTGAGAAATTTAATTTTCCAACATTTTGAATTTTGGCAAAGGAAAATGCTAAAGCAGATGTTCAATTAATGAGTTCTAAGGCAGGTGTATACTTTAATAAGGAAAAGTGCATATGTGCCAGGAGAACCAACCTTTTTATGGGTCAAGGCACAGTTTTCCAGACTGGAAAATCTTTGGTGCATGTGTGAACTTGTATAAATTTATTCACAAGAATAGAATCGGCCTTTACATATACCATGTATCCAGCAAAAATACCACCCATGCTACCCTAAACCAAGGCATTCATAATTTTTTTGCTGCACTCAGCAAGTCATATAAATCTTGATTTTTTTTTTTTTTACTGCTATAAAACAAAACATGCTACTCAGGGCACACTTATGTTATATTTGCTCAAATGGATCTTAATAGCAACTTAGGGTGCTGTTGCTAGAGGGCAACTGTAGTTAGCAGTTAAAAAAATCTGAAGGAACTTTTCAGCTCATAAAAATTTTATGAGCTGAAAAATGCTATGGGGTGTGCTTAACAGTGGTTCAGGGGATACTGAAAACTTGACTCCTGTCTATTTCAGGAGTAATTTGCACACCTGCAGTTTGAAAAATTATTGAAAGGTTTTCTTTGTGAACATATGTGAAGGCTATAGGGTTTGGAGACATAGGAAGAGTTTCTTCAATTCTAGATTTTTTTTTAAAAGAGCACTCCTCTAAATCATCTGAAATATTACAACTTAGTGGAACAAAACTGCAAATGTTTTTAAAAACTGACATACCAGTACCTTTAAATCAAAGAATAATTTGGAAATGTACAGATATTAAATACGAGTGTTATTATACAAATACTCATAGCTGTTACCTTAAAATAGATAGCTTATTAGTTTTCTATAAACAAGTTCATATATTCTACTTACTATGAGTCAGACCTGCTCGACGTTGTCTTGTTAGGTGTTTTTTTTACTGATTTTATAATTCATATCCACCCAATTTATATACAATCTAAGAGTAAGGCAGGAATAAAGCCAATATTAAACTAAAATGATATAAATATTAAGATATTGATAAAATTATTCATGTAATGCTATTAAAGGTTAATCAGATTTTGAGAAAGATAATTTTTGGTCTCTAAATTAGAATTCATTTTGCTCAGTATCCTTATTAAGAATCATTGGTTGCGTTGTAACCAATCATTAGAATCATCATAACCTTATTGGTTACATCATTCAGAAACAACTCCCATCAAATTAATCTCTTCTGCACTTTTGTTTGTACGTAAAAGAAACACACAAAAAGATAAAGGTTGATTTTCTGAATATTATGGTGTTATGGAGAGGGTAAAAACAAGGGACACTGGCACTGAGAGCAGGAGATATCTGGGCAAATGCTAATATTGATATCATTGATTACACAGTCATCACTTGTGAAAGATAATGTTTATACAAGGTAGTCTCAATTTTTAAAATCCCATACTTTTCATTTTTATAGAATTTTGTGATTATGTAGAAAAATTACTTTCAGATTTTTTTATTATAGGATCAGATTCCCTTCTTCAGACAAAATCTTACTGAGGGCCTCCATATCTTGAACAGACAAACGAGTAGCTGTGTTGGTTAATGTCTGAGGGAGACCAGGAGCCTTGCTCTCTTGGGACGTACGCCCCATCTTCTGTGCTGGTTTCTACAATAACATGTACCTCAGAACACAGCTAGGAAGAGAATGATATCATCTAGATAGTTCAAAATAAAGCAAAAACAATTACTCATTCCTGAATGAATTAATTTTTTAAAGTAGAAATGGTTTTAAAATTGGTCTGATTATCAGTACCTTGATCTCACTATAATGATACACATTTACTAACATTTACTTTTGAATAGCTCTGTGCACGGTGCTGAATAAAACAAATTAAGTAAGTATACTTTCAATCTTATCAGTGCCTAGGTGTCATCAAGATAATAGATACTGGCATTTCAAAGTATCATGTGTATGTGCAAAACTAAATTATCATGCAGCTCACATTGTCAGACCACTTTTTCTATATATTATCACATCTAAACCTCAAAAATAATTTGTAAGACAACTAGGGAAAGGAGATGGGCAAATGAGGGTACACCAAGTCTGATATTCGTGGCCTCCGGTCTAATGGTCTAATAGCTTTGGCTCTCTTTGGAGCATTTTTGCAGTGAAGTGATTCTGTCCCCTGATGAACTCTGAGGAACAATAACCCCTTCCTGTTGGCTCAGGTGCCACCCTGTTCAGCAATTCCTGAACGATCATAAACTCTGGCAAAACTGGTTTTTCACTGGCATTCTATTGGCTTTTTAGGAGTGTATGTTTTAAATGTGGTTGCTGCTAATATGGGGGACATGAAATGTTATTCATGTAGCTCGTAGAGCTGCCATGGCAAAGAAATAGCATTCTGAAATTGGTAGCATGCTATTCTGGGGTTCTGGGCTGCTTCTTTCCTGCCAGATTTTGGAGCACATCCCTAAAAGTGGACAGGGCTGGTGCCTACACACATGGGTGGCTCCTTTTCATGATCTCCAGCTGTGACTCACTGCTAGAGAAGCATATTTTTTTCTGCAGGGATTTAGGATGGCTTCCCCCATTCCTCATTGGCTTCCTAAAGTCTAGAAAAGGATTGAGTTCCTCTTCTAT